GTCCCAACACATGTATAAACTCCTCCACAATCAATATCCCATACCAGAATGATACATTTGTTACCACCAAAGAGCCTACATTAATGTATCATTGGTACCCGAAGTCCATAGTTCAGAATTCTTCACTCTTGGTATTATATATCCAATGAGTTTTGAAAAAATGCATAATGACATGTATCTCTACCATTATAGTATCTCACAAAACAGTTTCAGTATCCTAAACATTTCTGTGCTCTGACTTTTCATCCCACTACCAAACTCTGGCAACCACTAATGTTTTTATTGTTTTTCTAGCTTTTCCTTTGCCAGAATTTCATATAGTTGGAATTATACAATATGTAGCCTTTTCAGATTGGCTTCTTTCACTTAGTAATTTACACTTAATACTTCCTTCATGTTGTTTCACAGCTTGATAGTTCATTTCTCTACCACTTCATAACACTCTAGTTTATCCATCTACTCATCTACTGAAGGGCATCTTGGTTCCTTCTAAGTTTTGGCAATTATGAATAAAGTTGCTACAAACATTGGTGTAGGTTATGTGGCACTTTTTCAGCTCACTTAGGCAAATACTATGAAGCACAATTACTGGGTCCTATAGCACAAGTATGATCATCAGTTTTTAAGAAACTGCCAAATTGTCTTCCAAGGTGGTTGACTTATTTTGCATTCCCTCCAGCAATGAATGATTTCCTATTGCTCTACATCCTCACAGGCATTTAGTGTTGTCAGGGTTTTGGATTTGGGCTATTCTAATATGTGTGTAGTGACATCTCATTGTTTTGATTTGCTAATGGCATATGACGTTGAACATATTTTCATATGATTATTTGACATCTCTATTTCTTCTTTGGTAAGGAATGTGTTCAAGTCTTTTGCTCATTAATAAATCAAGTTGTTAGGATTTTTTATTTTTTAGTTTTAAGAGTTCTTTGTGTGTCTTCAGGAATAGTACTTTATCAGATGTCTTTTTCAAGTACTTTCTCCCAGTCTGTGGATTTTCTTCTTTTCTCTTGACATTGTCTTTCACAAAACAGAAATTTTTAATTTACATTATTCATCTATCCACATAATATGTCTACTTATCCTATTAAAATACTCAGCATATTAATCACAATTGTTAGAAATGCATAGTCTGATAATTCCAACATCCCTTCCAGCTTCTGGAGTTATCAGGTGAAGGGTTTCCTCAGTTCTTGTCTTCCTGAAAGATTTCAGTTGAGAAACAGAGTTAGAAAAAGCATAAAGGGTTTATTTAGTGAAATGAAAATAATGTGAAATGGCCTTCCTTCAAAAGAAGAAATCCTGGAACCTCCTACCTCATATATTATATATATTTGGGACAATCATTGTGGTTTCCCACCATGCCAGAATTTTTTTTCACAATAGATCATATCCATTTTCTCCAGATTGATAGGGAGCTGTCTGACCACAAGAAGATGATCTTTAGGTGGTGTAATAGCCAGTTGGTTGCAGCCCAGAGGCAGAGACTGAATTTCCTTTCCTCCACCTCCCTTGCTCAAGTCTATCAAAGCTACCTACTTCCACACTGGGACTAGCTTTGACTCTGTCCATTTGAACTGTATTTAACTTTCTAGAGTGACTGCAATTTTTTACTGAAAAGCAGACATAATGTACTAGGTAAAAGGAACTGCAATAAATAGAAATAATGGTAAGGTATATAAGGGAAGCAAGCATTATGCAGTTTTAAGATTTGTTCTCAGTGTTTTAATGAGCCTGTGCCCCTAGGTTGTGAACGTAAGAGTGCTTCCCAGTTGATTTTCATTCTTTTTCATCTCCCTTAGGTGGTACAGGATGATTTCTCCCAGCAATGATGAAGCACTGGCAAAAATCACCATAAATTGGGCCTTGAGGGCAATCCCTGTTAAGAACAGAATGTCCTGTCATTTTAAAAAATGGTTACCTTTCTACTTGCCTTTCAGGAAAAAGCAGGGAGTTTTTCTCCCTTCTTCACTGTGACATTAAAATAGAAATTTAAGAGTACAAAAAAGAAAGATATATTGAATCTAAAAGGTAAGAGCCTATAAACCATCGGAATGCAAGAAATACTCATAAACTTTTGAATTATAAAACAAGCAACTCAGTGCAACTCAGCCCAAACTGTGTCCTTATCCTCAAAAAGTAACATGATACAAGGGCTATTTACAAGCACTAGGAAAACTGGCATGAAACTGCATAACTCTGCCCTGCCACCACCTCTAGTCCAGCCTCTAGCTACTGTCCCACTATAAATATTTAACACCCTAGACCAAGGGGTAGCTATCTCTCACTCTCAATATCTACCTTCAATGTGTATTTCTTGTTTTACCTCAAAAGATAGGTCTCTCTATCTTTATAGACCACGCTCTTCCTGTATTCCTGTATTCCATGCATATTTCTTCCTGTATCCCCAAAGATGTCTCTCTAGAGATACTCCATGTTCTTCCTTGTGTGTATGACTGCTTTCCTAAATAAATCTGGCTACATCTCTTTCATGTGCTAAAATTCTTCTCCATCACATGTGCCAAGGACCCCATTTGTCCTGAGCCAAGGTTCCCCTCTCTGAGAACTTCTCCAATGACAGGAACTGTAGAGGGAAAACTCAGAAGTATGACTGCACCCCTTACCCATTACTGGGTGTCCCTAGAGTTCATTAACTCTCAAACTAAATTATGAGATGCTAGCAATTCATCAATTACAGATCAGGTTTTCTTGTCCCAGTAATGGTGCCTGCAGACATGAGTTTCTACTCTGGTAAACTGATTCTGATTCTCTGTGTTCTCCTATCTTGTCTCTCTGATTTGGGGGCAGCAGTTTTCCTTGTGACTTCACTTTCCATCTAACTACAAAGACATTATTTTCTCCATTTGTTCAGTTTTTCACTGGACTTCTAAACGCTTTACGTGTCAGACCAAAAATCAGAAATCCTATTATTGTTAAACAAGCTACAACAAAAATACAAATGTCTCTTCCTAGAAGATAAATATATCTTCCATAGGGAAAAGAAAATTAACTCTACTATAAGCTCATTTTTTTCACTAGAATTGCTTACTGCATTCCAAGCAGAAGCACTGACCCACACAAGGCCTAGAACCAAAAAAAAAAAAAAAAATACTTTTGAACCATTTTTTCCCAATATCCCAGATATGGAACACCTATAAAAATGTAAATTGAGCAATAACTATACCTATGTATATACATCTATGGTAATTTTGAAATAATTATTATTATTATTTTTATTATAATAAAATATAATAATAATTATTATTATTTTTAAAGTTCTACTCTTTTGAGAAAAGAAACAGATAAATGATTAGAGTATTTGAAAAAAATATATATATCATATATATGAAAAAATATATAAAGGCTATTTGAGTTCTAAATTATGATTTCCAATGCATTTTAATGAACATGTGTTGATTTTGTTGCAATATTCATAGAACTGAAAACTTAGGACTCAAGAGGTTAAAGAATTACAAATGTTCCATAGGTTGGTGTGAGACTTGCATGGCAGAGTCATGGAAATAAGGATGCAGCGGTAAGGAGGTTAATCTGAGCCTGAATGGTCTAGCAGTAGAATTTAGATTTTATCTATCCCTTAGCCCTTGAAGATTTTTAAATAGAATAAGGACATTCATTTAAAACCCAACTTAAATAAAAAATGGTTAGGGTCAGAAAGGAAATGGCACTGATCAATTTATATTTTATAAAGATCACCAAGCAGGCATTAATTTAGAAGTTCATTAGATTCAGGGATTCAGAGGTCTGGTATCATTGAAATAGATGGGAGGCTTTTTCAGTAACCCTGTAAGAAATAATGAGATTGAACTGAGGCAACAACCGGGGGTGGTGGGGGACATCATGATGTGAGAGATACTTAGGGCTTGGAGATATGCAGGGACTGAGGGAGAAAAAGAGTTGTGATTCCCAGGCTTTCTGTGGTTAGTATGGACACACAGATATATAAAGAAAAGTCCCTTTAAGGAGAAAAATACAAGATGAGTTGTGTTTTAAAGACATAAGAATCCTAATTGAGACAGACATCCAGTACATAGCTGTCCACTCAAGCCTGAAGTTTAGGGGAGCCATCCTGATTATAGATAATAATCTGGTAATCATCCTTAAATACAAAAAAGTTAAAAGCCATGGTATAGGTGGGAGAGTGGAGTGAAGGGAGCAAAGGACTTTGGAGAGAATCTTTGAGATCATCAACCTTTAAGGTATATATTCAAGAAATGAACCTTGAAAGAGACTGAAAAGCAAATAAGAAAAGGGTCTGATAGGGTGTCTGGTAGAGCCATTTTAACAAAACACAGCGGATACAACAATCAGACTGTTGTAGAGTAAACCAACAGCGCTGGGATTGTAGCTCAACGGTAGAGAGCTTGCCTAGCACATATAAGGCACTCGGTTTGATCTTCAGCACCACGTAAAAATAAATAAAGTTATTGCGTCCCTCTACAACTAAAATAATATGTAAACCAGCAAATACTCCAACCTTCTCTACATTGTGGCCCACGTTTAAAATGCATCCAGGTTCTGGAAACTTTTTGTTCCCCTCGACCCTCCTTGCAAAGTCTCTCCCTCTGTACTATCCCCAAAACCTACAAACCTATCAGCTGCTGCTGGGAAAAAAAAAAAAAAAAAAACCTCGAGAAGCTCCTAGAATGGGCCCCTCTCTCTTTTGTGCACCCTTCACCATTAGTCTCACAAACTTAGTTTCCTCTCTTCGTGGAGAATCCCCTGAGACGTGGTATCTTATTCATCCAGTGTTCCCCAGGGCACACAACAGTGCCTTGAAGGAAAAGCAGCATTTGCCTACGGGGCACAAACACGCAGCAGGCCTGTCATCGTTTCTCCTTCGCTCTTTTAAGCCTCATCTACCATGACTGGCCCACATCCCACCCCAACCAAGATGTTTCGCAAAGGAGTCTGTGGCAGGACCCCTGAAGGCAGCGCACGCAACCAAGGGGAAACCCACGAACCAAACCCTCTAGTACGACGTCACCCGCAAGCCCGAGAGCAAGCCCGCGCCGAGACTCAGGCACGCCCTTCCGGTTCTGGCCACGCCCCTCACAGCCACGCCCCCACCCGGCCCCGGCACCGCCCATCTCCGGCGCCGACAGACCCGTGGACATGGCGAACCAGGTAACTACGTGCTTGCCGCGGGCTTTGTGCTAGAGGAAGGAAGAACGTGGGGTGGCATCAGGCCGCTAGCAGAGGCGCGTGGCTCGGCCCGGGACGGGATCCCGCCACCAAAGCTGAATCGGAGCCTGCGGCCGCCTAAGCCAAAAAGAGAGGAAGGAAGCTTTGTTTTGGCTCCTCACTGGGGCAGTAATTTTGCTTTCTGCTTCTGGAACCGCCGGAGCTGGATGGGGGTGGGGAGAACCGAAGAGTGGGGGCAGGAGCTGGTCGAGTGCGTGTCCTAATACAAATGGCCTTGGAGAAGCCATTGCTCTTTACGCGAAATTAAATAACTTTCGTGGTGTCACGCTTGCAGGCAGACACAGCTGCAGCCAGAGCCCTACTCCTACGTGCTAGTGCTTTATGGTTGCAATTCACGACTTGGAAAATGCTCCATTACTGTGCCACTTGAGAGTGTATTTTGGGAAGACTCTTAGGTTCCTTTCTTTTTAACATATTTTTGAGCACTTAGGCACCAAGAGATTTATGCCCTCTCATAATCCTTGTATAACACGACTGCGAGGCATTTTTTTCCCTTCTCGGAGACCAAAAAATGAAGCTCAAAAAGTTGGTTGTGCTTCGTGATTACACCAAAGGTAGTGAGTCAGAAGTCCAACTCAGATCTGTCCATGAGTGAAAAGATTCTGAAATGCATATTAAACTATATAGGCAGAAGTACATGAAAAAGAGGAATTATCAATTTAAAGTCGCTGATTGTTTTGATTGTTTTAATGCTTTACAAACTTTAGACATTTCCTGGAAAGATATATGACCGTAAATGGTGAAGTTTAAAACGATAAACTCTTAATGATCTTTCAGGCTTAATATACAGTTGTTTTTCCTTATTACCAAATGTCTTCAGAGACGGTGAAATATAGTAACTCCTACATAGTTTAAATGTTGACATAGGGCAATTTTCCCTGGATTTAAAGCGGGGCTTTGTTTTGCTTTCTCAGTGAAAGGAAAAGATTAAGCTGCTTTCAGCATTTTTTAATGGGAGAGGGATCAAACTTTGGTTCTGTATAATTATTTATCTGTTGCTTTGGATGTCTGGGTTGTGTGACTAAAAAGGTGCTAATAGCAGTGTCTAAATTCTTTACTCTCATATTTAATACCTACATTTCAATTTGAGGGTGGGAAGGGGTGGATACTAGGGATTGAACTCAAGGGCACTCCACCACATCCCCAGCCCTATTTTGTATTTTATTGAGAGAGGGTCTCACTGTGTTGCTTAGCACCTTGCTTTTACTGAGACTGGTTTTGAACTCTCGATCCTCCTGCTTCGGCCTCCTGAGCTGCTGGGACTACAGGTGTGCGCCATCACCCCCAGCCTTACATTTCAAATTTAAAAGCAATAATTTGCAGCTTCATTAGTTACAGTAGCCATTCCTTATATCTTTAGTTCACCTCTCCTTTTCCTCAACTCTGTTCTGCTGCCACCAATAACTACTTATTTTTGCAAAGCTTCACTATACCAAGAACTGTATTAGGAACTTCATACTGACTTCCATTTACCCATAATCATCCAATCTGTAGGTGTTTTATTTGTAATTACTTCTTTCTCATTCTTTATTAAAAGTGATGCTTTCCCAAAACCACCAAGGTTACATTCTTCCTTCATTTTTTGCTTTCTATAGCCCTTTGTTCCTGTTTCTTTAAATCATATTTAAAAATTATTGATGTACACATCTGTCTGCTATAAATACACTTCATAAGCATTTTGTGAACTGTTCAAAACCTTCCTCATTATGCTTGATTTCATGGTAATGGGGAAGCATGTGTACTGACTATAATCTCTTAACTTCCTATATATACATAATACAAGTCACATATGTAATTTAAAATTTTCTAGTAGCCACATTAAAGAAAGGAACAAATGAAATTGTTTTTTAATAGTATATTTATAGGATTCAACATATTCAAAATACTATTTCAACATAATATTTTTAAAAATATTATACAGCTGGGTGCAGTTTTACACACCTGTAATACCAACTACTCTAGAAGCTGAAATGGAAAGATTACAAATTCAAGGGTAGCCTGGGAAACTTATTGAGACCTTGTCTCAGAATGTTAAAAAAAAAAGGTCTGGGGAGGTAGCTCAGTGACAGAGTTCAATTCCCAGTGTCACCAAACAGACAATATGTGTGTATAAATATATAATATATATGTACATATATGAGATATTTTTACTCTTTTTTGTACTAAGTCTTCAAAATTCAGGTGTATTTTACACCTATACCATATCTGAGATCAGACTGTTTTGTTAGTACTGAGTAACCATATGTGGCAAAATGCTTGTATATTGCATTTACACATATTATGTGTCAAAGGGGCTCCTGTATTAGCACAGTTAAAAGTTTAAGTTTGCCCATTCTGATACGTCTTATCCTCCTTCCTATCCTATAGTTTTGCACTAAACTAGTGCAAACAGTTTATTTAACCACTCTGAGCAAAAGTTTAATATGACATATATTAACCATAGCCTCATAACAGATCTACTGTATCAGATTCTCTTGGGACCTATATTCTTATTCTGATCTTTTTTAATGAATCAGAGGGTCATTAAATGTTTGATGAATAAGACTTCTTAGGCAAAAGAGACTGTTGTATTGGATTGAGTAATCATCTCAAGTCTTTTTTACTGTATACTAATTCTATGAAATTAAAAACAATTCTACATATCACTTAGGGGTGTATATTTCTCTGTGAATCTGTGGTAAACTTTCTAAGATTAGCATTCTTGGTATCGGAATTGGCCACTAAATAATTAGTTTAGTAAGATAAACCACTCACTCTCTTTCCCCCCCATTTTAGGTTATCAAGTGCAAGGCCGCAGTTGCCTGGGAGGCTGGAAAGCCTCTCTCTATTGAGGAGGTAGAAGTAGCACCCCCAAAGGCTCATGAAGTTCGAATTAAGGTAATGATACACCTTCAGCATTGGGAGAATGAAAAAAAAAAAAAAAGACTGACAGTGAGTAAATGAGTAGCTCTGAGGTCTATAGAGGATAAACCCCAAAGGACAATTCAAGGAGACGAAACTGAAAGTCATCCAACCTTAGCATCAACATCCTTTTACCTCTCTCATTTTTGTAGTTTAAGTATACCTCTCTCTCAATTTTGGCTTTGGCTGGCATAGCACCTTTCCTGTGGATTACTAGATTCCTGCAATGTAACTTTTATAGTTTAATGTGATTTTGTAAGATCCTCCCTTTTCTGCTGATCCCATAATCTATAGTGTAACATTGGAAACATTAAATAAACTAGGTTATGTTAGAAGGGACTTCCAATAAGATTTGGAAAGAGGTTCCTGATTAACTAAAGCAATAAGTAAATAAAGTCTCCTTGCTTGCTTAGAGAGCTTCAAAATGTACTGTCCCTGATGGACCAGGCCAAGGTTCAGCAGGTTCATTAATCCAGTTCCTCTCAACCTCCACTGCAGCAGAGAAGGAGAGTTACACCTGGAGAGGGGTATATTACACAAGACAACCAGCTCAAGCAATCTTGACATTTATAAAAGTTTAACTCTCTACTTGTTTTTTACATATAAAATTAATGTTTTAAAGTAATGGCCATTAAATAATTTTTTTTTCCTTTCTACAAAAATGTTACATTTTAGGAAAAGACTTGGCTCTCTTTTGCCATTACTTTAAGTATACTTCCACCACCACCATCCTACTTCCAGATATATACTGCACATAACTGGCTCATGCTCCCAAGGATCATAAAGATCAGGTGGGGAGAGCCCACAACCAAATAACTTTTGAAGGCCCTTTTCAACTGAGACTCAGAAATCTGAAATCTTATAATAGTATAGTATTTTTCTTCTTCAAATTCAGAAATTAAACTGATTGTGCTTTTGCCACTGAAGAAGAGTATTTGTCCTAAATATACAAAGATGAACTTTATATATTTACAAAGCACAATGAGTTCAGCTTTCATCCCTGAGAAACTGCTGACAGATAGCAAAGAGTATTACACTAGAAGTGAGTATGTAGGCCAGAAGCAGAGCAGCATAAATACAAATACTCCAAGAGTCTTGCTTTCTGTACTTTTTTGTGCTTTGGGAAGACAAGATATTTGAAAACCAGAGAAACAGGAATAAAAGGTTAATTTAAGTGGAAATAATGTGTGGTGGCAAAAGATTGATTCCAGTAAAATCTCATAGTTTGGGTCCAGACTCAAGCAGACTGGCATATTTCAGAAATAGTATTTTTTTAGACATTTCCAGAATCCACAAGGAAGTCAAAAGTGAGATGGGATACACTTGTTTTGCAATATGTAATGTTCCTCTCCACACCTGCAGGCACAGTGCACATAAAATTACCTTATTTACTTTCTGCTAACATGCATTGAAAAAGAGAAAAACCATGCCACATTTTATTGCATATAAATACACCATTATTTTTATGTATCACTTAAAAAATGCTGCCAATTCTAATCGTTAGCAATGCTATGGATTATGAACCCTTGCTGATTTAAACAACTTAAAATAGAAAAGACTTCTATCTTAGAATCTACAAAGTATAATATTAAAGTAAAATGTCTTTTATTTGACTTGTACCTCACTCTGACCTGCATGCACACACACACTTCAGTGCTTTTTATTCTAACACCCTGACAGATCATTGCCACTGCACTTTGCCACACTGATGCCTATACTTTGAGTGGAGCTGATCCTGAGGGGTGTTTTCCAGTCATCTTAGGACATGAAGGTGCTGGAATTGTGGAAAGTGTTGGTGAAGGAGTTACTAAGTTTAAGGCAGGTAAGGAGAATATTTGGATTACTTACTTGATAATTTAGGCTTATATCTGTAGGGAAGTTACTTTTCTGATAAACTACACACTGTTTATAAACTGTTTATAAACAGGTTGTCACCTAAAAAAAATATCAAGATTGATTTCATTCATCTGGGAAGCACAAATGTTTGGATCGATATCTATCTATCTCTCTATCTCTATCTCTCTCTCTCTCTCTCTCTCTCTCTCAATTTTGCAGACAGCTCTTCATCTGAAACTGTTTAAGTACATTTCCAAAGTCAATTTTGGAAAAGTCAGCAAGAATTCTTAGAATGATGTCAATAAGTCAGTATTTTGAAGCACAACATGACTTTGTTCTGCAGTTATTGTTTTAAGAGTTTCATTTAGATGAAAACTTTGAAACATACTTTTTGCATGGTCAGGCAATGTCTAGGTGACATTACATGGGTAAAGTTTTAAACCTTGAAGTTAACTTTGTAGACTACAGCAGAAAGGAATGGAATTTGCAAAGGCTGCTTTATTCATTTAGAAATAGGTACTACCCATTCAGGATGTCTTTGTATTTGTTTTCCAGGTGATACTGTCATCCCGCTTTACATCCCACAGTGTGGAGAATGCAAATTTTGTCTAAATCCAAAAACAAACCTTTGCCAGAAGATAAGGTTAGTGGCTTTTTATTGTATTCTTAAAACAAGAGGTCATATTAATGGTAATAATCACTTAATTATGTGGCAATTAAGCAGTGCATTTTACATGAACTAATTTCATCTTTAAAGCAGTCTCACTGTCACTGTTATTAATAACCTTATTTTCAAAGATGAAAAAATGAAGACGCAGGAAATTAAGGATTTGCACAGTATCATAGGTCATTACGATATAGAACAGAATTTTATGAACCCATTCTCTTTCCGTAATCCTACGCTAGATTTTCAAGGAAGGACATGTTTGTGAGATTAAGTGAAATCATTTTTATGAGCCATTTTATTGTCCATTAAAGTAATAAAACTTACCTCATAAGATTGTTGAGAAGCCTAGAAGAGATAACATAACCCCTTGACACAGAAAAGGTAAGTTATTTTATTATATGTTAATAGCACTTAAAAAACTATTTCTTTGAAGCAATGTAAGATCCCCTTTTGTTTGTTCCTTTTTTTCTTTTTTATGGAAGTAGAATATACCTATAATACTATATTTGCAGTGTACAAATCTTAAGTTTAGTCCAGTGAATATTACACACACACACACACACACACACACACACACACACACACACACACACACCCCGGATGATTAGAGTCTTTTCTCAGATCAAGAGGAAAGATCTCTGACAGCACCCCACAAAGTCCCTCATGTCCCTTACAAGTCAGCATTTGCCTCCTTCAGAAGTAATCATTATTCTGGTGTCTTCAACTGTAGAACTTTGTATAAATAGAATCATGTAGAGTGTGCTCTTTTGTCAGGTTTTTTCCATTCATAATACCTGTGGGATACGTCCATGTTGCTGTGTGCATCTCTATTTTTTGTTCTGTCTTACTCCATTCCAGATACCACCATTTATCCATTTTCCTGTTGGTGGACACTTAAGTTTCTCCCAGCTTGTAGCTGTAGGATTAATATGGCCAGTGACATTTTTACACACACATGCACAACCTGCTTTGGGGTGTTTTCCTGAGATTGGTATTGCTAAGTTTTGGGCTACACATCTGCAGCTTTCAGGTGTGAACGGAGGAGTTTATGCTCCCTCCACCATAGAACAGGAGATAGGTTTGATCATTCGTTTGTTTTCTTATGGCACTGAAAAAATTAGTTTATAACACATCAAGTATAAAATGGTGATGGGTTTGTTAAAACTAACCAGGCTTTCAGAGAAAAAAAGTCTGTGAAAGGTGATGTATCCCGTGTCACATTTGGTTCATGAAACTCCTCTGGTAAGAGTGACTTAACAAGCTTAAACCACCCTTTGAAGATATACAACAATTATTTTATGTCGAGCTTTGATACTTGTTTTTTGTTTCTGAGTATATTTTTTGTTTTTCTCTCAAAAGAAACATACTCTTGAATCTACAAGCAAACCATTTTCTCATCTGCATATTTATTCATATATGTATTCCAGAGGGTTTACTTAAGAGTGTACATCAAATTAGTGTTTATAAAAAATAACAAATATTTACTAACCATACTCTGCCAGACATAATACTAATATATTAGCTACATGATGTCTCACTAGATTTTTTTAGGAATTTACAAGGTTTTCCATGCTTTCTAGTGAGGAAACTTAAGGCACAAAGGTTAAGCTACCCAAGATCACACAGGATTTGAACCAAGCAATCTGACTTTAGGGCCTGCTCTCCTAATGAAGATGTAGTACCTCTTCTGTTTTAAAATAACACAGTGATTTTTTTCTTGACATTTATTGTGTTGGTTGCCTGTGTGAGGTTGTTTGAGTTTTTTCCTCTATCAGTGTAACCAACTACACAGGCAGAAAGGGAAGAGGAAATATAACATGAATCCTTGAAGACAGTGAGACTTTTGAAAAGTCTCCAGACAGATCTAAATTAGTCAGTTTGGCCATTGGTTTTCATCTGTGGATCTGGATAATTGCTTGTGTGCTCTATCGTATAAATACGATTTGGGCTTCCTCATTTATGAAGTTATCATTTGTTCTCAGAGTTTATGATGGATGTTTTTTTGTGGGGAGGTGGGTGCTGAGGATCAACCCCAGGGCCTCAAGCATGGTAGGCAAGCACTCTCTACTGAGCTATAGCCCCATCCCTTATGATGGATTTTTAAATCAATTTTCTCTGATTCTTAAGTTGTGCATGTTGAATTCAGGACATCACAGTGCTCCTTTGTCCCTGCTGCTGTAGCCATGAGCAGCTTAAGGAGGCAAGCACAGTGTGAAGCACAAGCACAAGCACCCACCAGTGCTTCCATCGCTGGTTTGGCGGTTTATGGACATGGCAGAAAAAAGCCTGAAAACTCTCTTAACAATGACTGTCACCTTGAAAATAGATTTCTTATTATCAGGAAATTGAGGACTCCGAATTTTGTCAACTAAGGCTGTGAGGATAGTCATGGTATTTGATGAGGGAGACTGAGGCAGGAGGATCGCTAGTTTTAAGCCAACTTCAACTTAGTGAAACCCTAAAGCAACTTAGTGAGACCCTGCCTCAAAATAAAATATAAAAAGGGCAGGGGTTCAGTGTTTAAGCGCCCCTGGATTTAATCCCTTGTACACAAAAAAAGAGGGGTGTGGATCCAGTTTTAATCAATACTTGGGAGTAGTTTTAGTATTACATAGTGACTAATAGTTAAGATGCTGGCGCTGAGACAGCTTTTAATGGTTCCCTGCCTTAACGAGAAGTGTCCAATTAAAATGTGGAAGGTTCAAGAACATTGACATGAACACCATTGCAGAGCTCACAGTGAAGTGCAGGAATTACAATACTTGGAGCCTATGGAAGAAGCCAGCTTTGAATCCAAATTAATGAATTAAGTCAACCTGCATACCATAAAAAGCCAAAAGGCTGCATCTGGTTTAGAGAGGAAAGGTACTCACTTTATTTGCCTTGTTTGCCAACCCTGCCCCATAATGACTATAACCAGGAAGACAGTATAAATTGTCATAGTTTTTGTCGTTATTTGCCTCTGGAACTCATCGAACTTTATGGAATACCTATTGCCCTATTACTGGATGTAATTTTATATATGCACTGAGCAGAGATTTATGCTTTATAATTTAAAGGTGAAAAAAAGTGAAGATTAGCTGGGCAAAGTGGCAAATACCTAGGATCCCAGCTACTTAGGAGCTGAGGTAGGAGAATTGAAGTCCAACCTGGGCAATTTAGCAAGATCTTGTTAAAAAAGGGTAAAGATATAGATCTGTGGTAGAGCACTTCCCTAGCATGTGTGAGGCCCTGCATAAATCCCCAGTACCAAAAGAAAAAGAGAAACTAAAGATTTGTCTAGTTAGATAGTATGGGGTAGCAATTAGAAACCTCCCTGGTTTCTAAAATTTATTTTCATAAGCAGTCTACACAAATGTATTCTTGTTTTAAATTTTTTTTTAATTATAGATGACACAGTAACTTTATTTTATATGGTGCTGAGGATCGAACCCAGTGCCTCACACATGCTAGGCAAGCACTCTGCCACTGAGCCACAACCCTAGCCCCCATAAATGTGTTCTCAAAATAAATTTTAAAAGAAAGTCAGGATCAGATGGGCACTTACAAAATCTAGAATGTCGTATTTAATCCCCACAACTATCTGTCTTGAAGAATTTGGTTTAATTATTGTATGCCCAAAGATAGTATGAAAGTTGATTTACGGAAGACCTCAATTCTCTTATCTCCTCTCTACTTTACCAGTTACTCCTTGATATTACTCTGATCAGCCTTAATGTCATTTCAAAACATTCTGTATTTATATTTTCTGACTGATTAAGGTCGATTATCCTAAAGATTATAAAAGATTTTTGGTTTGGCCAAGGAAGGCCAACCAACAGTCTGAAGTTAAAGTACATCTATTCTAAATTCAGAATGGTCACAAGAAAAACAGCGTTATAGGGACCCAGAGTTCAGGATGGTATATCACAAAATGGCAGAGATAACCAATTCTATTTCCTGTATATGGCTTTTGTGCCCTGTGTCCAGGTCTCCCTTTGCATTACTAAGAAATACTGTATTACCTTGTAAACCTTACTACAAGACCATCCCATTGAGCACTGAGGATAAACCAGTTCCAATCCCCCCCCCCAAAAAAAAATTAGTTTCGTGCTTTGACAATAAGTTCTGGAAAGATACTGAAGAGTATAAATTTCTTACAAGTTCACCAGTAAGGCATCGCTGAAATGTGCTAGATTATTAATGAATACAATGAAAACTAGACTCTTGATCTTAGTACACTTTTCTGAGTATTTACTGGTCATTATTTTTAAAAACCAAGAAACCACATTTTATTCTGTCTTTTCCTATTTTTTTTAGAGTCACTCAAGGGAAAGGATTAATGCCAGATGGTACTAGTAGATTTACTTGCAAAGGAAAGACAATTTTACATTACATGGGAACCAGCACATTTTCTGAATACACAGTTGTGGCTGATATCTCAGTTGCTAAAATAGACCCTTCAGCACCTTTGGATAAAGTCTGCCTTCTTGGTTGCGGCATTTCAACTGGGTATGGTGCTGCGGTGAACACTGCCAAGGTGAGATCAGCCTGGGTTTTAGCTTCTGCCTTCTAATTCACTTCAGCAAAGCTTTGCTAGAATAGTGAAACTGGCCCGAAACCTACTGATGTCCTTGACCCTTGCTGAATGAGTTCCTTACAGACTGTCTTTCCTGTTAGGTGGAACCTGGCTCTACTTGTGCAGTCTTTGGCCTCGGAGGAGTCGGATTGGCAACTATCATGGGCTGTAAAGTTGCTGGTGCATCCCGGATCATTGGTGTGGACATCAATAAAGATAAATTTGCAAGGGCCATAGAATTTGGAGCCTCCGAATGTATTAATCCCCAAGACTTCAGTAAACCCATCCAGGAAGTGCTCATTGAGATAACTGATGGAGGAGTGGACTACTCCTTTGAGTGTATTGGTAATGTGAAGGTCATGGTGAGTATGTTTGTTTCATTCCTTTTTTGTTTGTAGAACTTTCTTTTTAATGCAGTCCCATTAGGATTTAAAATTGATGGATTTGGTTTTTACAAAGGAAGTCTTTTGATAACAGTTCTAATGAAAGAAGGGAAAAATAACTGGACTACAAGTAGAAAATGGCACAAGAATGTCTTATGGAAAGATGAAAAGTTGTTTCTTTGCCTTTCAGTGCAACCTAAATATATGTCTCATTAAATGAAAAAGCAGAATATTGAAGTTGTAGAGAGTGTGAGCTTTGGAGTTACATATTCATATACTTACCAGCTCAGTGACCTTGAGCCATGGACTAGTTCTCTAAACCTAGGTTTCATTATCTGTCAAATGCAGATAGTAACAACACCTATTTGACACAAGTAGAAATTGAGTGAAAAATACTGTTACTTCTCCTGCCTACTTCTTATACTAAATTCCTTAGAACTTTGAGCTAGGATTTACTTTTTGTTTAAACCAATACATAAAAACATAAAAATTGTACATATTAATGGAGTACTATGTTAATCAGGTTAAACATTATCTCTCAAACACTTATCATTTCTTTATGGTGAACACTTCCAAAATCCATTATTCTAGCTTTTTGAAATGTATAGTACATTATTGTTATTTATACAACAGTATACCAAAGCCTCTTGCTCCTATCTAAATCTGACTTAATGTCCATTGATCAACCTCTCCTCATCCCTCCTCCCACCCTACTCTAGATAATCACTATTCTACTCTCAACTTCTGTGAGATCTTTTTTAGATTAGATTCCACACGAGTAAAAAGATCATGTGGTACTCGTCTTTCTGTGCCTTATTTCACTTAACATAATCATCTGCAGTTCCGCCCATGTTGCCACAAATGACAAGATTTTATTCTTTTTTATGGCTGAATAATATTCGATGGTATATATGTACCAATTTATTTATCCATTCATCAATTGATGGACACTTCAGTTGTCTATTTTCTGGCTGTTGTGAATAGTGCCACAGTGAACATAGGAGTTAATGACTCTTCAATAAAATGATTTCATTATTCCTTTGGACATACACCCAGGAGTGGGATTGCTAGGTCATACAGTAGTTCTATTTTTAATTTTTTTTTCTATTTTTAATTTTTTGAGGAATCTTCATACTGTTTTCCAGAATGACAAGGTTCCCCTTTTCTGCACGTCCTCACTGCATTTAATCATTTATCTTTTTGGTAATGGATGTTCTTTCAGGGTGAGATTATATCTGATTTACATTACCCTAATGATTAATAATGTTAAGCATTTTTTCAAGTACCTGTTGAAAATTTGTGTCTTTTGAGAAACGTGTGTTTATGTCTATTGCCAATTTTTTAATTGGGTTATTTTTGTTTTTGCTGTTGTTTTTGGAGTTCTTTATAAATTCTGGATATCAACCCCTGTCACATACTTTCTCTCATTCTCTAAGTTTTCTCCACACTCTTATTTGTTTCCTTTTCTATGCAGAAGCATTTCAGTTTAATGTAATCCCATTGGTCTCTTTTTGCTTTTGTTTCCTGTGCTTTGGGGATCCAAAATTCAAAGCATTTGTTCTCCCCCCCACCCCGAGGATTTTCATAGTTTCAACTCTTACCTGTTTTGAAATTTTAACTGGTAAGAGATAAGGAGTCTACCTCATTCTTCTACATGTGGACATAGGATTTACTTTTAGAGTACAAAGCAAATGAAAGCTTTACATTTGTTCAATTTATGTTAATATTTATCCAGGTTAATAATTTTTAAAATACCTGTTAGAATGTAATTGTTCAATAAAATTACATGAAGTTTGGACCTTAGTCGGCATTTTTTTTTAAAAGCCCCATGTCACACACACCAGGCCCACTCCACATAAGTTTCCAGGAAAGAAGTTATTCTGAACAAAAAGTACTGACTTGTGTGATTTGATCTTGCTCTGTGCTTGCAGAGAGCAGCACTTGAGGCATGCCACAAAGGCTGGGGTGTCAGCGTGGTGGTTGGAGTAGCTGCTTCAGGTGAAGAAATCTCCACCCGTCCATTCCAGCTGGTGACAGGTCGCACATGGAAAGGCACTGCCTTTGGAGGTAATTCAGTAGATGAGTCCCTTTTCTCTCGTTACTTTCATTGACAGAGTTTTAATCCCAGACTAGTTTTCCTGTATTAATAAGAATCTTCATGTCATGAGCTACGTTATCATAAATTGATGCGTAAGGTTCCTTTTAAAGGAGGATTTCAAATTCAATCAGTGTTTACCCATGGGGCTGGGAAGTTGCTCAACTCCTTAAGCACTAGCCACTTATTACCCACTTACAAAAAAATTGAATATTCTGCTAATGAGAAAGAAGTTGGGGTAGAACATAGGTGAGAAGTTGACTGCAGAGTAAGCAGGCAACATTGTCAGACCTGCTGTTCTCACGTTTTTACTTAAATTTTCCAGAGTACAGTGATCACTGGTTGTGATCATACTTATTTCTGAATGGTACTGATTTTCATCAGTAACTGAGTCTTAAACTGAAAATATTTGATCAATCCTAACAAAATTGAAAAGCTCCCAGACTGATCATTTTTCCCTTTGTGATCCTAAAAAGTATGGTTATTTGGGTTGCCTAACTACCAGTGGAAAGCTCAAATAATTTCCATCCTTTCATGATTGCTCAGTTAGGGAACAGGCATTAATTTATGTTTACATATCACAACTATTAACTATTGTGAATAAATGAAATCTAATGTTTTTATAGGCTTTTTAAGAAAAATATCTTACTATCTTGTTAGGCAAAACCTTTTGAATGATGTGTGTTTAACAAAATGCCTGCCATTCTCATACCTCATATTATGCCATCTTTTTTGAAGGCCAGAAGCAAATACCATGGTACTCACCTTAGAAAATGTCACTGATCAGCCCTCCTTTCCAGAGCCCTAGATGTGTACTGTGTCTCAACAGAGCTTCCTAGAACAGGCTCTGTAAGGCACACGTGCTTCTTGGGGGCATCATTCACAGCTGAATTTGGAAGGACATTCATTCTAAGCCTGGTTGACTGGGCCAAGGGGTCTTGGTAGTGACCTCTAACTGAAGCCTCCCCCTAGCACTTGCCAGCTGGGAAATTCACTAGAGGGTTGCAGCTCTTTGTGTTGCTAAATATGACTACCCAAAGATATAAATAGAAGTTTTGGTCTAGACAATAGGGGTAGCTACTCAGTTACTAGGAGATTGAAAGGAAAAATAACAGATTTCCACAAAGAGGTCTGAAATATGCTCTAAAGCATCCTTAAAATTTTGGGGGAAGATATTTTTGTTGATTTATTACTTATTTTGATATAAGTGAAACATCAAGGCCACTAATTTAAAATTTTGTTAGCTACTTTGTTCTTAATACTTTTCTGAGATGCTATTCTTACTTCATTTTGAAGTCAAAACTCGGAACAAAAGTACTATATTGCATCAGTTTTTACTACCTTGAATATTGTGATTACATAATCTTTGCTATTGTGGAATGGATCTAAATAAATTTGTTATTAAGAAATATAGAGAGCTTGCTGTCTCGCATAGTTTAAAAGTCTTCATTGGCCAAACTTGAGAGATTTTAGTAAATTCTAATACAAAAGCAGGAAAAAATAACAAGTATTTAACTCTTTCATAACAAAAGATGCTGTGTCAAATTCTCTGCTTCAGGCTAATTTTGGAATTTATCATTCCTCTAGAACTCATCAAAAAAATCATTCTCTTGGCTGGACATGGTGGCACACACCTGTAATCTTGGCAACTACAGGAGCAGATAAGAGGATCACAAGTTCAAAGCCAGCCTCAGCAATTTAGCAAGGCCCTCCTTAAGTAACTTATTAAGACCCTGTCTCAAAATAAAAAGGGGTGGGGATGTAGCTCAATGATAAGTACCCCTGAGATTCAATCTTCAGTACCCAAAAAAAAAAAAAAAATCCTCTTGGCTCTATGGTAGACCGCTAACCTGGCATGTACAAGGCCCCAGCACTGCCCCCACCTTATCCCCTCCCCCACACACAGAATTATCCTCTTAAATATCTTTTGTGTAACCAATAAGCGTACTGTAGAAACTTGTTGCATGAATTAATGAATATATGTATGATTTCTTTTAGGTTGGAAAAGTGTAGAAAGTGTCCCAAAGTTGGTGTCTGAATATATGTCCAAAAAGATAAAAGTTGATGAATTTGTGACTGGCAATGTGTCCTTTGACCAAATTAATGAAGCTTTTGAACTTCTGCATTCAGGAAAGAGGTAAGCTTCCTCTTTAGCTCTATTACAGAATGTAATGATCTGGGGTTCTAGGGGAGAACCAAAAATGATACAATTTTAAAAGGTCACCATTTACAATCTGTTTATTGCTTCCTTCTCTTACAGCATTCGAACTGTTGTTAAGTTTTAAATTCCAAAACAGAAAAATCCCATTCCTAAGTCTTGTGATCTGATGGAAACAGCCAGACCAGCGTTTTCCAAGCTCATAGCTTCTTGGGCCTTCAGTTAACTATTCGAGGGAATAGTATTACTAGGTATAATTCATAAGTCTGCAATCAAGGACAAGGCCAATACAGTCACAGATCTATTTTCTAGACTCTCCTTCACATAAATAATCATAGCTCACTAATATTACAACATAATAAAAGTAATTTCTAGCAATTATAAGTTGTCATTTCTTTATACTACATTCTTCATGGTTCCTCTGCATAATATCTTCATTCTGTAAAGGAAAGTTAAAAGAAACTGGGCAGTGCTGCTTTTTTCCTTTTGTCTTGTATTCAAGATATATGTGAATACTAATGGCAAACATTTTCATGTTCAATAATAAATGACAGAGCAGTTTTAATATATTATTATTCCAGTTCTTATAACTGGATGATTTATTGAGCTTACTTTTTATTTGTCATAACTAAGTACACAGTCCTAAGCCAGTCCATTAAGTTTAATATGTATTAACATTTCTTGAATGAAAGCAGTTGGCTTTCAGATTCAGTGTAAGAAACCAGTTTTGTAAGATGCTTACCATAAGAATTCCTGCATCATGGGACTCAACCATATGTATAAAAAGTTTTGGGGTTTTTTTGTTATTGTTGTTTGTTTTTTATTTTCTGGTAAGATTCTTTTAACATATTCTCCTGGATTGAATTTTGGATGCTGTGTATGTTGCTGAACCAAATCGTTTTGGGAACAAAATACAGATAAAGCACAGGCATAAATCTATCTTGATTGTCCTCAATTAAGATTCTACCAGGGTGGTGATTCCTTGATGACAATTGTAACAGAACAGCTTCACAATGCACGTGTTAGACAAACAGCTGTGACTCAGCACTAATCCATCCAGCTGAAACAACCGGTCAGCCCTTCTGATCCTACGGAGGTAAATGCCAACCGAACCTTCATAGGTAGTGGCCACAGGTTTGAAACGGGGCTTGGGAGAGATAGTAAGGACACCACACCCCCCACCCCCCCACCCCACCCCCCTTGCATTGGTCACCCGGCAAAGGGAAACGAACTGTCGCCATTTGCAAGAGATACCACCATGGCAGACAACTGACGTCATCAGACTGCGGCGGAGGAGATAACTTCATTGAAACCTGCGGCTACAGCATCAAGATTCTACCAGTATGAAAGGGTTGAGGAAAATTTTTGAAAATAGAGATGAATGTCTATAATTTCAATACAAATGGATATTAACTCTGTATACTTCATGAAAGCCAGTAAAATAGATACCTCTTAAATTTAGGAATCTAAAATCTTGCATCACGAGAAACTAACTTTAAGCAAGTTTATCAGGTTTAACTGGAACACTTTCACATGCCTAGCATTTTTCAAATCTTACCTGCATATCCATTTTTAGCCATGTTAGGCTATTCTGTATTCAGTTTTAACCTACCTAGTAATATTTGCTGGAGAAAGAAACAAGCTCTTTATTACATGCACAGGAAACTAACAAAGTATAGTGTATGGGATGATAAGGAGGTCATTTGGAATGGAAATAAGGAAAAAAATGACATTACATCCAAAACACTACAGTGGAGCCAGTTAATATGTACAATCAACACCGGAAATGTATCCCAAAAAATAGTTACTTCCATTTATCTCATTTGAATGCATGATAACACTTAGCTGATAATTCTCAAAAATGTTTTGCTGGTTTGGGTAAAAAGAAACATTTTTACATGCACAGAATGCTACAGAAGTTTTCTGTTAGCTACCAATCTGCCCAGTAGGCTGATGATCAAAGTCTTAAATTTAACTGACAATTCTTTGGAGGCCTAGAGACACTGCTAGAAAAAGTCGATTCACCAGGTTTTTTGTTGTTATTCTGTTTTTTATTTATTTATTTTTACCTTTTTTTTTTTTTAGTTGTAAATGGACACAATACATATATTTTTAATTTATTTATTTTTTCACATGGTGCTGAGGATTGAACCCAGTGCCTCACGCATGCAAAACAAGTGCTCAACCACTGAACTACAACCCCAGCCCTGGTTTTAATTAACATGCAGTATCAGATTGTCAACCTATAACCCTTGAAAGTATCCCACAAATACATTTTTAAAACATTATTTTGATAATATATGCACAGAACTACACCAAGGAAATTGTGCCTTTACTAGGAGGACTGGACACAATCCTCCTCCCTTATTTCTTTTAAGTGGAACTTTATGGTAACAGCAGCAGAATGGGCTCTTAAGCAGATTTTTATCCAAATGGTCACTAGCAGAATTCCATGTATATAAGCTAAATATGAGCATGCTCCTTTTAAGAAAGCATGGTTTAAATGTGTACAGAAACATTCTTGCCTTGTGGAAATATCAGTATTAAGAGCAGAAGGGAGCTGGGGTTATGGCTCAGCAGTAGAGCACTTGTCTAGCTCTTATAAGGCCCTGGGTTCGATCCTCAGCAACACATAAAAATAAAAGTATAACAACAAAAAAAGAGCAGAAGGACTGGAGTTGTAGCTCAGTGGTAGAGTGCTCATCTCAAATGTGGAAGGCACTGGGTTTGATCCTCAGCACCACATAAAAATAAAGGTATTTTATCCATCTACAGCTAAAGAAATATTTTTTTAAAGAGTAGAAATGTTGTTTTACAATATTTTGATTTCCTTCCCCTGTTCTACATTATAATACTAAGGTTCTCATCCTTGGCTTTAAAGTTTTCTCAGACTTTCCCAGGGCTCAAATACACTAAGTTTAAACAATTATACCCTAAATTATCTGGTGACCTGACCCAATTACTGAAATAAAGTAAATCTGTTATACAGTCACATTACATTTAAACTGTTGCTAATTTGTGTTAGCACCACACAAACAGAATCTCTGCACAGAGAAGTGTGGTGATTTGTTCTAACCATGCAATCAATTAAAAATATGTTAGTTGTGTGCTCCTCTTAAGAAACCACAGTGCAAATGTGCTTACAAGTTTGGGAAAATAAGTGTCATGAGTTTGTTGTTCAGAGTGGGATGACAAAAACAGAATAATAATAAAGCTGAGGATTTTATTACTCAAGAAATCAATTTTGGGGCTGGGGTTGTGGCTCAGTGGCAGAGTGCTTGCCTTGCATGTGTGAGGCACTGGGTTCGATCCTTAGCACCACATAAAAATAAACAAAATGAAGATATTGTGTCCATTTATTTTTTTAAAAATCAATTTTGTAACTAAAAGCTTTACAACAGTAAAAAAGGTTAGACATCATAGGAATTTCCATAAAATTACTAACTAAAACACTTAACTATTAAACACATCAATGGTAACTGAAAATCTTCATAGGAAGTCCTTGAATGCACCACATACTGATTTTTTTTTGGACACATTTTAGTAAAAATACCATACCAGTATTGACACATTTTAAAAATAACCACAGAACTGCCATATTGAGGCAGTTCTATTGTTGCTCAATACCCAAAATGAAAAGCAGCAGAGAGAACGCAGCCAAGGGCATTTTTGCTTTCTCTTACAAAACATTCAAATGCATTTTCCTTACTTAGCTCCAAAAAGGGAAAAAATGGAGGCTGCCAAAAAGTTTTCAGAGCAGCCACTGAAGGCAACTTGACCCTCAAGGAGTCAAACAGCATGGCCCGAGTGAGAACTTCCAAGAATAAATGGTGTGCTACCAAGCTAAACTTTCCATAGATACTCATTTTTAAAATGAGACAAAAGTTAGCCTAATGCAACCTATATATCTTGAAATAAACCTAAAACATTTTTTTTTAATGAGTTAGACAATGGGCCACAACCCCACATTACAAAATGGTATAATTTGCTCCTCTTATAGTTAGAGCTTGGTAGAAGACCATCTCATATCATCCCTGTGTTTCTAATTGCCAGATGACTTAACACCATCTCATATCATCCCAGTGTTTCTAATTCCCAGATGACTAAGATATCCTTTCTATTCCTACTATGTTTTGCCCCCAAGATTTACTCCCTTGTTTAAAAAGTAGTTCAGAATTTATAAAATTTAGAATCCAAATAAAATCAAATTATGTTCTAATAAGGAAATGCACATATTTTGTACTTAGTAGTTTATTGTTGGTGATGAGGTAGTTTTGAAATTTACATCTTACAGGATCAAGCAAGTAAATATTGGTGTTGTTTGGAAGCAAGTTCTCATCAAGGGAAAATAAGATCATAAATGTAGAATAGGGAAAGGAGAGGAAGATCAGTGTTTTCATTTTGATACTTAAGAAGCATCAAAATGAATTAATGACTTTTTAAAAATGTATTTGTTCCTAAAAGGGCCTAGAAGCAATGAGATCCCAGTAAAACACAAATCCTGATTCCCAAACACCATTCCCTGTGAAAAGAAACTAGGGGTCTTGAAGAAAGCCAATTCTTAGTCTGTGTCAGGAAAAATACATAGTAAGCCTATAATGTCTTGCTATGGTACAAAGCAAAAACACACTCAGACTGATGGTTCAAAATGACCCACTGGTCAAATCTGGGACAATTATAGTAATTAAACAGAATTTTCAAAATGTTGCGATTCCACAATACTCAAAAAGGGGAGGGGAGACAGGGACTAGAGGGAGGAAAGTGTTTCTTTGTAGAATGTTAGTTAATAAATGTAGATGGGATGCCAGCCTTAGAAAATGCCAACTTGCAGTCATGACTATAATACTGGATTCAGGTGAAAACTGTCAGTGAAAGCTAAAACCACCAAGTGAAGAAGATATGCAGTATTTTCCAAATCTCTCTCCCAAGATAAAAAAGAATATACTTTTACAATTTAAAAAACCTGACAGACTACCCTACTATCAACTTTAAACAAATCGAATGAAAACCTCAAAGATAGACTGACAAATCAAACTAAGATGGCAAACAAATTGCTAAACCTCCTCTTGCCTATTAATTTATACACGTGGGTGGCAAGTAGTATAAATGTTGCTGAAGGGGTTCTAATTCCAACAACCTATTTTATCAGCATAAGCCACAAAGAGAAGATAAAGGGCAAACACGTTTCCCTTTTAAATTATAATTTCAAGAGAGTTGAAGACTGGCAAGAAACAAGGATTACCCTAAAAGTTAACCTAAAACAAGTAAATAAATTGATTTATAAAAAGTTGGTAGATGATAAATAGATGTTTTGTTGACCTAAATCTAATACATAATTTGATATATGTAATTAGACTAGAGTACACACTGTTCTAAAAAAACTCCCAAACCAAGGAAAGCATTATTTTATCTTTTCACCACAAAATTATCCCACAAAAATTTCCTTCCTTAAGCTTATTTTTAAATGCTATACAACAAATAAGCCCACACTGTTAATTCCACTATCAGAATGTAAAATGCTCCCTTAAATATTCCATGTGCTCAGTCTTAAAAGCTCCCAAAAATATGA